GCCTACGGTTGGGCAAAATGAACCTTTCCTGCAACCCAAGTCCCCTACGGTTACGCAAAATGAACGGTCTGCAAATTCACCTCCGAAGGGACGCACACAGCATGTATTACGGACAGATTCCGATGTTGACGTAAGTTATCGCTTTGATTTAAAGTTCCAAACTCTGACCAATGGAAAGGGCAGCTGCGGTGCACACAAGCTTCTCGATTCACAACACTCATCGGAAGCTATTGAAGAATCCGGGATCCTGCATCTACTGAATTAGAGGATTCCACTAAAATTTATTTCAGTTACTCTGCGTCACATTAAACGGAATAATGGCAATCGCGTAAAAGCCAGGTCCACTTCTTGGTCACTAATCTAGTTTCATAACTTGGACTGTTCTGTCAGTTCAATTAATAAGATGTGAAACTTAGAAAGATAGGCTATATGTACCTCCTTGTAAGGGAGAGAGAGGAATACGCTTTATTTTAAAGGTCTTATTAAAATGATTCAGCATATAATGGCACCATTTATTGAGACAGGAGGATAAGTTAACTAAATACGCGATAATCAAAAGGTATAAATATAATTTAAATCAATTAGGGAAGCATCGCCAATATCAGTTTCTGTCTTTTAAGGTGCAGGGTAGGGTCTTATAAATGGCAATACAGAAAGCTGATAGGTCGGTGTACGGCACAATATACGTTGGAAGTCTCATTGCATGATTTGCGAAGACTTCACAGCCATTAGGCCAGAGTGAAAGGGAAGGGCAACATTATCGAGAAATGGATCAGCGAATTTCTCGACCATTGTGAAATATGAAAAGATCAGCAGAAAAAAACCTCATAAAGACGTCTGCAGGAGAAAAGGGCGTTCAAAAGATACGTTTAAAAATCAGAAAACCCTTATTAAATAAAGTAGGAAGAATTACAGGAGAACAGTGTAGGAGGGGGAGAATGGAGGCATCTATAAACTGCCAGATTAAAGTAAGTGACAAGAACATAAACGAAGAATGTGATAAAGACGTTTACGAATTCTAGTGCAAGGAGTGTAACTATGAAAGGATAATGAGAGATTAGCTATCAGATATGGCCAGGATTTGGTTGATTAATGCTAAGATTGAGAGGGTACGTGTTCGGGTTAGAATTGCAATTGGATGTAAGATGCGTGGAAATAGGTGTCCCTCTTGTATTCACGGCAAGAAAACCCATAGTACAGAGGGGCACTCATACATCTGTTAACCCTTTTTCAATTCAAAGCACGACATTCAGCCCTTAATCAGGTGGGCTTCCCATGTACCCCCACTAGGTTCTTCACCAAAGTTTTACGCGGCATCTCCAATGCAACATCCTCCGCACACTCTACACCTCGAACAAACATGGGCGGGTGGGTTTGACTGAACTCGTTTAAGCGAACGATGGTGTACGTTATAAGATACTTTTGGGGTTAACAGTAGCGCAATCGCTGATGTCAGGTGGGGAGAGAGGGGTGATCAGACTCAGCTAACTGGCTTCACCTTATGCACGTGACAAACTTGACTGGGGATGCAGGAACAGAAAGTTCTGGACGGCAAAGTACTAACCAAAGATGCCCTGTAATATCATTAAAGTCCAAACCGATGCGAGTCGAGTGCGCTGTCCGCCTCCGTTCAAGAGACGCTCTCTAAAATTAGGCACCTCAAAATTTCATAAGGGGTGGAAATTAAACAACCCAAACACAAACGAGGGGTTTGATGAAGTAGTTTCTCTATGACTGACGCAAATGGTGGCCTAATTAGGACCTAGAACAGGAGCCGCCGTTACACAAGTGGATTTGCGACATATTTCAAGGGAAAGGACGTTAGATTTATGGTTAGGGTTAAGTGTAGGATTAAGTTTAATGCTGGCGTTAAGGTAGGCGTTAGTGTAAGTTAATGTTAAATAATGAGTAAATGAGAAGAAGACGACCCGATCGCTGGGACAATTCTTTTATTCGTCTGACGTTTCGAGATCCGTCACGGATTCGTCATCAGAGACATAGTCAGAGAGCAGTAGCAGATACGAGAAGCGTATGCACAGGAGTTTGCAGTATTTATAGGATACTGTCATTACTACAAACTGCAACGACAATTAACGATAATTGCCTTCTTGCGTGTTGGTAGTTTGTTGAACAGCATGCGGCCTTTGAGCTGCTGAACTTCAATCACGCGTGGCGGACTCGGACGTGATGATTGCTCGGCAATCTGACCCTCCGGTGTTGGTGTAGGATGACGCGGTGGCTTGCTTTCGCCAAATTGAGTTTCAGTACCGAAAATGGATTGGGCAAATCGTTGCACTTGTTTATGGATCAGTTGCCCGTGAACCATGACTCACGTAATTCTCGGCTCACTCGATTGTCACCTCTTGCGAGAATTTCGGCCTCATCAAATTTGAATGTATGACCGGATTGTCACCTCTTGCGAGAATTTCGGCCTCATCAAATTTGAATGTGTAGCCGGGCCTCGTCGAATGAGCCGCAACTTGACAATTAGCATCAGTTCGCCGCACTGCTGCCGCGTTTTCGGCAATTCGCGTCTAGAGAAGTCTGTCAGTTTCTCCGACATACCTGCTTTGCCCGCA